GTCTTCACTTCAAGTAATTTACTACATCGCCAGGGGTGTTTATCTTTCCACATTTACAGCTGTGAATCTTCCATATGGTATTGCCTTGTCTCTGTCCCATAAGCTGTTAGCAAGTAATGTTGATATTAATATTCTCATCATTGCTAATTCTTTTTTTTTGTAATTCTTGCTTATAATTGTATTCTCTTCTTTGAGCTAAAATTTATTTAGGAAAGCAACTTGGTTGCCAGTTGGTATGATAATCATTGAGTGTTTGCTCTCTTGTCTTTAATTTCCACTTTTTTTTTTTTTTTTGTATTGTCTGGAAGAATAGCCTGTATACTTTCTACTTTGAGTTTGAACGAATGTCCTTCACTCTAGCCTGATCTAGGTTCAGTTCTTGTTTTTTGAATGTGTGATGTGTCTTCATTGACACTATTCATATGAATAGTCTGGTCTAACTCTGAGACAGGAAATTTCCCATTTCTCTCTCGTCTTTTTCATTCCTCTAAGTATTTATAAAACTCTTGGCTCATCTAGCTTAGATGCTGGGCTCTTCGATGCATGTCTTATGTGCTTTTCTGTGCCTATGACAAACTACCCCGACAAAGATGACGTAGAGAGAAAGGGTTTCATTAGGCTCACAGTCTCAGGATACAGTCCATTGTGGTAGGGTCGTCATGACAGCAGGAGCTTGAGGGTGCTGGTCGCAGTGTGTCCATAGTCAGGAAGCAGAGAATGGTGAGGGTGTGTTCCTGCTCAGCTTCTTTTCTCCACTTAACACAGCCTGGGATCCCATCAGAGAATGGCACTACCCACAGTGGGTAATCCAACATAGTCAAGGTAGCCCACAGACATGCCCAGAGGACCAACTAATGTTTCTGTATTTTGTCAAGCTTACAATACTAACTAGGATGGTGCTTGGGGTTTCACCATAGTGAGATTGCCATTGTGGAGAATATCCTTTACTAGTATAAAATATTTTTTGTAACATACAACGTTCAATTTTGTATAAGATTTTATCTGATGTTAACATATCCATTTCTAGCCAACACTAAACCAGTAGAAATTCATCAGTGAAAAAGTCTAAGTAATGTGCTCCAAGTCACAGGCATAAACATTTTTGAGATGGGACAAAGTAGAATAGACAAATAGACTTCACATAATTCACTTACGCACTCTACCTTTGTTTTGTCTTTCATATTTACATTTACTATCCACGTGTACTTGATTTTGATTATTAGCAAAATATAGGAATGAAATATCATTTAAAAATTGACCAAGTACCTGCATACACACACACACACACACACACACACACACACACACACACACACACACAGAGAGAGAGAGAGAGAGAGAGAGAGAGAGAGAGAGAGAAAGAATGTGTGTGGGCACAGGTGTACCACAGTGTGTGTGTAGAGGTCAAAGGACAACCCCCAGGAGTCATTTTTCTCCTTTTACCATGAAGGTCCTGGAAAGCAAAGTGAAATCATCAGGGTTGGTGTCAAGGCTTATGCCCATTGAACCAATCCCAACAGCCCCATGTATCTATCTCCTTTCAAAAAAGCTTTTAAAGGACACTTTTCAACAGAACTTGGGATTTTAATTTAATTAATTTATTTGTTTTTTTTTGTTTTTTCTTTTTTTCTTTTTTTTTGACAGGATTTCTCTGTAGCTTTAGAGACTGCTCTGGAAAGAACTTGAAATTTTTAGTGTAGCCAATATGATAACATTTTTCTTTTGTGACATTTATCATTTGCATTTCTAAGGAAGGGTTTTTACACCCACGAAGCCATGGAAATAGTCTTCTAAACAGTCTTTAAAAGCCTTCTAGTCATGTCAAATAGGTTTCTAAATGTCTGGGGTGTAATCTTACCTAAGTTAATTTGGAGATCCACTAGGAAATAGGGGCAGAAATAATTTTTTCTAACACAGTTAGCCAGTACTACTGTATAGCTTATTCCTTTTTCATTAATTTGAAATGTCATCATTAACACCAGTCAATATCTCAGGCCTGGATGTGTGTGTGTGTGTGTGTGTGTGTGTGTGTGTGTGTGTGTGTGTGTGTATGTATGTATATATATATACATATATATAAATATTATATATATAATATTTAGTACATTCTTTTCTATAATCCACTATTTCAAAGATTGACTTCTTTATAGAATGTCTTACTATAGGAACTTTCAAGCACTGTATTTCTTTGTAAAATATTGTTCACTGACTCTCCATATTTTCTCTTTTAGGATCACCTTTCTTTGCATAAAAATAGTTTTGGGATTTTTGATGAATATTTAAAATGAATGTAAAAACACATACCATTTCTTTCTAAAGTCTTCACAATGTATTATGTTGCATTCTCTGTGTATTACTCACCTTAGATACAGCAGGTAGATTCAAAGCCTAGTGGAACCTGAAGCCTATATAACCCGGGGTCTTCTCCAAAGATAGTTATAATTATGAATGTAGCACTGGATGCCATGCTGTGGGAGTGGCCTGTGCCAGGGAGGTTCTTGAACTTCTAGCTTAATTAGCCTGTGGTAAACCCACTTCAGATAAGCAATATCACACAGAGAGAATGCCATGGAAAATTGTGTCTTCCCCCTTCTATTGGAATAATCTGCTTCTTGTGTCTTTGAAACTACTTAAGTGATGGAAGCAATAAAATAACCAAGTGTAGCTGCAGTTATGTTTGCAGTCGAATGTCACATAATACCACAGCCTTGACTTTTCTGAGATAGCATGTCACATTTGATGACCTCAGGGCACATTGTGAACATTAACTAATTAAACCTCACAAAACCCAAGAGACTTTGGAAAGAGAGATGTAGCATCACCTTGCCCAGTTCTGAAATGCAGCCACCTCTGGGGACAATGGTGGCAGCTGCTTAATAATAAGCTTCAACACCTCACAACAGTTTAGCTAAGACAATTAGTTATTGTAGTTAGTAATTGTCTTGTGAGCATTACACTATCAAGTGATTAAGTCACCAGGATTATTAGTTCATTGTAAATCTAGTCCATTCTTCTGTTTTACTTTTTAAAGAAAATTTATTCTAATTGTAAAAAATATAACACATAGCGTAGGCCATGTTCTTGTTTTCTTTTAGATCTGTTCTTCAGTTTGAAACTTAAAATAAGGACCGTCATTAAAAAAACATAGTGTAGTTTAAAATAGAGATATTGATAGGAGCAAAACTAATCAGTAATAGCAGAAGTCAGAAAAAAGTATGTTGTGGGGGAACAAGGAAAACTTCCAGATCTTGGAAATTTTTTGCATATTCACTTCAGGAGTCACATAGAAGAGATCTGTGTAGAAAGCTGGTTGACCACCTTTCTGTGTTTTTATAACAAGCAAATTAGCCTGTGAAAACATCCCAGGCTTATCATGAAAGTGCTAGGAGGCCCAGGCACAAGACATACTCAGGGACTAGAGACACCATAGGTTTTAGCTTCCTTGAAGCATCTTTCTTCAGGATTCTGTCTTTTCCTGGGACACTTCTTCATGGCCAACAAGCTACATTTCGTGTCTGGATATGAGTCTCTCTCATTAACACCTTCAGCATTATCACTCTGAAAATTTCCTTGAGCATCTGGTTTTCCTCTAGATGTTCATTGTATTTCACTTACCTATATCTTCTTCAAAAGCAGGTAGAAGACATTCACAGTCCAGTAGTTTGAGTTGAGCAGTGTCGGCAGAAGTCAGCCCGGTGATGGGTGTTGAAAGATAAGCAAGTTAGAGGCAGAAGCAGAGAGAATCACGAGCTATCCCTGGCTCTACAATGTCTGATGGGATAGTTACAGAGATGAAGGCAGAGCATCTTTCCCACAATGACTCCATCTCTGGGGCATTCAGAGGGCCCAGGGTGCCTCAATGACCACAGGCAGAGCAGAGCATCTGTGCTGCTCTGAGCTGTGACCCATCAGACAAAGAGAGCAGATGTCACTGCTGAGATCCCTCAGTGGCGTGGGCCCTAGGTGAGGCAGAAGGGAGGACGAACATTCCTACTGTGATGATTTCTTCCAAATTGACCTGTTAAGGCATCGATGACTTGGAGATGGGAAGGAGGGGAGGATAGAGAGGGCAGAGAGAGGGAGAGTTTGGGAGGGAGGAGGTCTTTGAATGGGAAATGGGGCAATTTTCCCATTGCAATTTTTGTAGATTAAGCGCGTGAAGAATGTCCAAATGCCTCCCTTTGTAGAGCATGTAGAGCATGTAACAACAGCTCAGCTTCAGCTCTTCTCATTTAGAAAACAGAAAAGGGAGCTGTCATGGTTGCATACAGCTATAATTCCAGTATTCCAGAGGCAGAAGCAGGAAGAGTGTGAGTTCAAAGTTAGCCTGGGCTACATAACAAGATCCAGGCAAAGGGTTGGAGAGGGGAAGAAAGGGCCATGGGGTTAGGGGCAGAAGGTGGGAAAAGAGGAAGAGACAGCGGAGAAGAGGAGATGGGAGAAAGGCTGATGCCAGCGTCACTGGCAGACGTTACTTACGTCCATGGTATTTCCAAAGAGAAATAGCCCTTTCCTAATCTTTGGTGTTTGGAGAGCACTGGATAGTAAATTGTGGTATTTCCATCTTCTAATTTAGGACTGTTTCAAAGCCTGCCATCCAACAAGGTGACAGTTGTTTGTACACTTCAAAGGGGCCTGACATCAAAGGAGCCTGTTACCCAGAGCTGGGCAGAGGCTGGGGGTGCCTTCGTGTCAGGCGCATACCCTTTGTGCACATCATTCATCTGCGCAGCTTCCCTGGTGCAGCATGGTTTCGTCTTCACCACGTGGAGAAGGCAGAGAAGGGCTGAAGAGGAGCTAACCTAGACTCTGAGTGTCAGAGGGAGCATTAGGGTGGGCGGCAGACCCCTGTACTCTTTTCCAGTTGCTCTTTTTGGAACAGACACCTGCAGATCCACCGTGACTTAAAAACACTTGGGCATGCTACCACCCAGTTTCCTATGGCTCTTTGCATTGTGAGTCACTTATTTTCTGTCCTTACTCTGCCTTTTTTTTCAAAGATGCCGAAATCAAGAGTGACAGCCAGGGCTCTCAGAAAGCAGCCGAGGAGTCATTGGGAAATGCTTCTTCAGAGGCCGTGGAGACCCAGGTAAGGCTCACTACTTCACCGGCCCTGAGGCTTGGGGATGGGCCTGGGGATATAGTGACACTGAATGGGGCTTTGGTGCTAGGATCCTCACTGAATTCTGTCATCTGCTGCAGAAAGACTCCACTTACACTAAGGTGGTGAGATTGTATAAGTTTGTAATAGGTAATGGTCATGCTGTAGAATACAGGCCAGAATGGAACTTCATCTTGTATTTGTTACCTTTCTTATTACTGTGGCAAATGCATGGCAAAAGCAACCTTGACAAGGGAGACTTAATTTTGGCTCCAGTGTGAGGAGGCTGTAGCAATCATGGTGCGGATGGTATAGCTGTGACAGAGAAGCTGCTGAACACACTGTATCTGATGTCAGGAAGCGGGGAAGAGAGATGAATACCGGTTTCCTCCTCCTCCCCTTCCAGAATTCAGTCTGCAATCTCAGTCCGTGGGATGGTGCCATCCATGTCTAAGTTGGACTTCCCTTCTCAGTTAAACTTTTGTGGAAATGCCCTCAACGATGCACCCAGAGGAGTATCTTCTAGGTGAAAGCGTACTAATGCTCACGAGTCTACACCTTGTCAACTTGATACCCAAATATGTCACCTTTAGCCATTATAATGCAATGGTCCTCAAAGGTTCATAGGAAAAATGCATTTAACATTTCTAGAGCATCCCCCTCCCCCCATAGTCTGTAACAGTCTGAACCCTATTCAGAAGTCCAGTTCCTGTGGAAGAAGACTCAAGACAATCTTGCCTGTGAGCCCCTACAATACAATACAAAATATTACATAGTCAGTATATGCCAGCACAGGGTAATAGGTCCCTTCAGAAAGAGAGACACAGGGGTAGAGCAAGACCATAGCAAAAACCTAAACCCAGCAGAACAAACAACACATACTGTTGTTCTATGCCCAGCATATTGGGCTCTTGGTGGCATCATCTGAACTTCACCAGCCTCAGGTAGTGGCACTCTCCCTGGTCTGCCATTGTTAGCAGTATGGCCTTTCTTCTAGGCCAGCTCCATTCTGTGCTTGCAACTTTACTGAGTGTACCATGGTCCCGTGACTCCAGATCCTGATGTCTCCTTGCAACCAAAGCATCATGATCTCAGCTCCATACAGAGATCTCTCAGGGACACACTCCAGGGAATCTGACCATGTCACACAGTGCCTGGTCTTTGTGGCTTTCTGGAACCTCGTCCAAGTCTCTAAAATCCTGTAACTCTTATATTTTATGTATTTGTAAAGCTAGCATCATGTGACCAATACTGCTAAGTTCTGTTCCCAGTTCAAGGTGCCACCAGCTCCTCTCCACCGTCCTTCCTGCACATTCCTTGACTAAAGGAGGCTAACGTAGACAAAGCTGCTCCCTGGAAGCTGATTAGGCAATCCAGAGTTGCTGAAAAACTAACAGGCTTCACACACTCAAATGTACCAGCATGCTCCTTCCTGTCTTGGTTGGGCCTTGCTACACCACAGAGACACCTGTCAGTACTTCCCGAAGAGCCACCCAGCTTCACTCCACTTGTGTGGTCTCAGGATGAGCTTTCCTTTACCTTGCTGCCAGTGTGGCTGTAACAGAACAAGTGGTGTGCTGCTGCCCAGACCTAGACCAAGGGATGAATCCACTCCCAGGGAGTCCTGAACTGGTCATGTGATGAGATAGATAGGGATTAGCGGGTGGGCCCAGGAATCCAGCATTGTTCCATTTGAGTTACCAGTGTCTTAAAATGCCTGTATTTGAGGGGCTGGTTCTAGCTTCTCATATACTCCAGTGAATCAGTGCATGTCCTTTTGTCCTCAGGAGCTAGGCCACTCAGGTCCCCTCCTTAAAAGAGGGGTCAACAAGTGGGTCAGGCAGGAATGTGTGAAATGAGTGCTCACCCTTAGGTTAGTGTTAGTCCCCCGGCACTATGTCAGCACCAGCATGGGTAGAATCTAAGCTGGACTACATAGTTCCTTCAACCTCTGCTTGAAGGACTCCTTCAAGATTGGGAGTAGGCAAGGAACTGTTGTTTCCTGAGCCCCAACACCTCCTTCCTCCTCCTTTATAGTCTCACACCAGAAAAGAAAAAGTACCTCTTGCCTATCAACACACACATACATGCACGCACACACATGCATGCATGCACGCATGCACACATGCACACGCATGCTAATCTTGGGAAGAAGAAGGAAGGAGTACCCGAGGCTTAGCACTAGGTCCCCTGGGTTATCCTCCCCAATTTTCATGTTGTGGAAGTCTTCCTTTTCTATGGAAGAATGCTGGCTGATTGCTCCAAAGCACAAAAAGACTCATCGTGTAATAATTGGGTGCCGTATTTCAAGTACAGTTTTATCCACATAGATCCAGTGATCTTAATGGTCAGGAACCCTGCTAAGTGCTGAGGGAACCCCCCAAACCAGAGCACAGTCCCAGCCTCCAAGAGGTTATATGCGATGGAAACAGAAGAGGCTCTTAGTGAAAGGCACGGAGAACAAGATGGAAGACACCAAAAAGAGGGGACCCAAAGAGGAGTAGACCCTTTCAAAGAAGATCAGAGGGCCTGGATGATCAAGGGGAATGAAACTCATGAGTGGCATTTTAGAAAACGGAACTGAAATAATTTTATTAGTATATCCCCTGAGAATTTCATACATCCATACACTGTATTTTGATCACATTCACATACCCTCATTACTCTGAGAGCCACCTCCTTCTCCATCTTCTCCCAACTCTGTGTTCTCCAAAGTAATTATTTTGACTATATTTTATTTGCTCTAAAGGTTATAGATATAGGAGATAATAAAATGATCCATCATAGACTTCTAGAGATAAAAGTACAGTGCATATGCATTGCATAGGTTGAAAATGCATCAGAAGGACTGATGGCAGATACTGTGGGAGAAAAGATCAGGGAACTGGAAACATAGAGAAATGAGACATTTTAAAAAAGGTTTTTTATTTCGATCTTTCTCTCCCTCTGTGTGTGTGTGTGTGTGTGTGTGTGTGTGTTACAGTGAGAATGTGAAGGCTAAAAGATCAGGGAGCCAGTTCTTTCCTTCCCTACCACATGGGTCCTGTTGAACTTATTTTGTTAAGCTTGGTGGTGAGTTCTGGCACAGGGATCTAATATATGTTAAACTGTAGCCTATAGAGGAGACAAAAGAGATTGGGACAAAAACAAAAAACAACAAAACAAAACAAACAAAACAAAAAAAAACCAAAAAACAAAACAAAAAACAACAAAAAAGCCCCAAAACAACAACAATAACAAAAACCAAACAAATGAACAAAACAAACAACAACAACAACAAAAAACAATTCTGGATGAAACCATTACAAGATTGCTGACTAGATGTGCCTGGTGGCCTTTCTTTTGGCAGTGAAAAGCAGCTTATGTAGATGTGATATAAATATCTATATAACATCAGCCAACAAATAAAAATAGAATTACATACCATTTAGAATAGTAAAAATAGGAACACTTTGTAGATAAGTCTAACCAAAGATGTTTAAGATCCATGCATTGTCAACTGCTAAACCTTTCTTATCAAAGAAATACAACAGTGAGATATCCTGTACTCACAGACTGAGATATCCTGTACTCGCAGACTGAGATATCCTGTACTCGCAGACTGAGATATCCTGTACTCACAGACTGAGATATCCTGTACTCGCAGAATGAGATATCCTGTACTCGCAGAATGAGATATCCTGTACTCACAGACTGAGATATCCTGTACTCGCAGAATGAGATATCCTGTACTCATAGATTTGAAGACTTGATGTTTGTCAAGATGTCAGTTTCTCTAATTGCTCTATAGATTCAGCAAGACTCTAATCCAAATTCAGCAAAAATACCATGGAAATTAAAATAGAAAATTTATATGGAAAGAGAAAGTCAGTCATAGCAGTCAGAATAATTTGCAATGAAGTTTTAGGATTGAAACTAATTGGCTTCAAGTTATATTTTAAAATTCTTCTATTTAGGTAACATGCTACTGGCCTCAAGGTCAATCCAAACAAAACAAAACATCCTGATAGAAATGAACATGGAATTGAATCGGAGTGAACATTTCCCAGAAGAAAAATATCTAAATGAAATGATATTCAATTTCCTCAGCTAATAGGGAAATGCACATGAAAACTATAGTCAGATGCAATTATGCTTTATTTATTAGGATGACTAAAAATTTAAAAACTAAACATTCTAAATGTTGGTGAAGGTGTGCAGGAATAGTGGTTTATTTACACATGGGCCATACTTAACAACAAGAGGGAATAAACTGCCAGGATGTTTGAGAATATGAACTATTTAATTTTTAATGTCAAAAGAAATAGAAATCAACCTCTCTCCCAATAAAAGCATACCCACAATTCCAAGAAACACAGACCAATGGGGTGACAAAGAAGAGGTCGGTATTTGCCTGTTACCAGGAAGGACTCGAAGCAGTGAGATATAGGGGCACAGAGAATTGCAAAAACTTAGGGGAGTGAGGTATATGTTCATTATTTAAACATATTCATGTATATGTATATACACATATACACACAAGTCAGACCTCTCCAAAAGACATATTTTAAATGAATACAGTTTATCGTATGTTAATTATACTTCAATAAAATGGATTTTTTTAAAATAAAAGCTTGGTGCAGCTCCCAAGTTACACAGAAAAATTGAGTCACAACTAATGTCTAGAGAGAATTAGGAGGTGCCTGTAGAGTCCTAAACACCCATCCACATCCTCCTCCTCTCCATTTAAAGCAATCTTATGAGGTGGATGCTGCCTTGTTTTCTTTTAACAGATGGGGAATCTGAAGCCCTGTCATTTTCTCAGTGCTTCCTAGCCATTAGTAGGGGCACCGAGGTCTGAACACTGGCTGCTCACTGCAGAGCTTGGGTTCTGAACCACCATGGGTTGATTTTTGCCTTCTCATTGTCCTTTGCAGGAGAAAGACAGTGAAGAATCTTCTTTGTCTGGAGATCGGTCAGCAATCTTCAGTAAATTCTCTGATGATGTGAAGGTAAGGTTTGTGCATGTACATGCCTCTAATGCCTGCTGGCTGTGAGCTTCCCTCCTCCTCCTTCAGCCTTTGTGTGCCCGGTCCTCCCATTGATCTCCAACGCCTCTCCCCAACACATAGCCACTGGTGTCCTTGAGTTAGCTCTGGGCAACTCAAGTCCCTAACCCCACATGCCCTGAACAGCTCAGACTGAAAGTTATATTTTATTTGTGTTTTGATTATTAGTTACCATTTTAGTAAACATCTTTTTCTTCTTTTTTTCCCAAAGAAACTTGGGAGAGCTAAAATGCTTATTAGAACACCTACCCCTGGTTCTGTTCACCCCCAGCACACACACACACACACACACACACACACACACACACACACACACACACACACACCATATGCACACACATGCCCAGGTAATACACTCTAAGTATGTGTACTTTTGTGCTGCTTATGTTCCTGTAACAGTTCTCTCTTGCTGCACGTTCAAGCCAAGCTTCATTTGGTTAACTAAGGTTTCCTTGGCATAGTCGTCTTCTTCGGCTGTCCCTAGGGCATCTTCCTTTGTTACTTCCCATCATCCCACTCACACCCTAGCTCTGTTCCTCTGGCAGACTGCTTCCACTCATGCCTTGTGTCATCTGTTTCTTGATCACCAACTGGGGAGTTGCGAGATCCCAATGCCCTGTGGTCCTATTCAGGATTTTGACCTTCTAAAGAGCAGAGGAAGGCATTGAGTAGGAGGTTGGCAGGATCTGCCCTTTCTGTCCCAAGGCCAACCCTCTCCCTGATCCCAGAGGGCCTCCTGATGACAGGCTGCTGCACTCTGCTGCCTTTAGAAGCTTGTGCCTTTCTGAGGGAGACCCGGGCCACCAGAATTAGCAGATCCTTGATGGCACTGGGGCAAGCCCTGAATGCTCCTTCCACAAGTCCCAGCTCTGTCAAGAAGGCCAGTCCCCCTGCTGTCTAACCCCCAGATACCGACCAACTAAGGAGTTTGCTAGAGGGGAGAGTGCCACTTTGTGATGGCCAGGCCTGAACTGGAGAATAGTGCTGTGACTGGAGGACTGATGATCTAAAGGTCTGTCTTCCCAGGCTGCCTTCACTGGGGAGTGGAGACAGGTTCCTGTGCTATCTTCAGGGAGGGGTGGGGGTGGAGGAGCAGTATGTGCTGGCAGACAGAGATGGCACAGCATGGTTACAGATCCACTTTTGCATTTGCTACTGGACTACCACTCTCTGCCCGCTGTCACTTAGTGTCCCTCAGCACCCCAAGGAAGAGGGCTAAAGGTACCTGGCTCCAGCTCTTTAGGGAGCAGCCAGGAGGAGCAGGAGAGTTGCTGGGGAATGGACACCCCAGCTCCTCCACCTCTGAGGCAGGGAGGGCTCACAATGGAGTCCATAGTGGAGAGCCAGTCCTTGGAAGGCCTGTGTTGGTCCTTCCTTCCTTGTCTCACTTTCTTTCCCTCTTCTCAGAGGTTCGTGGTAGCTGCTCAGACCCTGACCTTAGGCTTGCTTCTGAGGGGCCCACACTGTGACACTCACTAACCATTGTTATGTCCCCCATGGTTATGCCCCAGGAAGGAGAGTGGAGATTCAGTGGGAGGTGACAGTTTTCTCTCTAACAGTCCTTAAGAGTGAGGCCACTACTTTATATACCGAAACACAGGTGGAATAGGAAGGGAGAACCAGAACCCGTTAGACACCCTCACACACACACACACACACACACACACACACACACACACACACACACACACACCAGGACATCTAAGCAGGCAAGATCGATTTCCCATGTTTATCTCCTGACCCTTCCCAGGAGGGGGGTGGGAAGAAAACCACTGAAATGACAGGGAAGACGTGAAAAGGGCACAAATCCACAAAGACAACAGAATGGAAGGGAGTTATTGGCAGATAAGCACTTTGAAAATATTTAGAATCAAGAAAATCGATGAAGGAGTTTGCACTGGCTTAGCAGAACTGAGGGAAGACTAGTAAAAGTGGTGTGAACTCTCCACAGGGGCTTGGGATTTTGCTGAGGGGAGGTAAAGAATGAAGCTGAGCACAGGGATCTGTTTGGCAGCCTGGCAAGGACTAGCCCAGACCCCAAACTCCCTGCAGACTCTACATAGCTGACCAGCCACACCCCAGGGGAAATGGCCCAGTGAGTATGCCATGGAGAAACTAGAAAAACATGACTGCATGTTCCACTCTACAAGGCTGTCAGATGGAGAAAGGCTCTGGACAGAGACAGTGCAGTTCTCCATTTCAGATGGAGGAGCCCAAGCCAGAAGCCAGGTGCTTGTTGAGTAGTCTGTTGCTGCTGTAATTAATTACCACAACTTAGTGGCTTAAAACAATGGTGCCTGTCGTCTTCCAGGCCCAGAGATCAGAATTCCCAGACAGGTCTCACTGCACTAAGCCTCTAAGTGTAGGTGGAGGGTTATTCCCTTGCTCTGCTAGTGTGTAGAAGGCACATGTATTCCTTGCCCTTTGACCTTCCTCTATCTTCAGGGCCACAACAGTGCACCTCCCTACCCCTATCTGAGCATATGCCTCCCTCGTCATTTTATCATATCCATCGAATAAGCCAGGGCCATCTTCTCAAAAGTCCTCACTTTAGTGGCATCTGCAAAGTCCCCTGTCCCTGTGAGGCACATGTCTTCAGGTTCTTGAGGGTCACTGTTTTCCTTCTCCAGTCTCTCTTGCAGGTTGGAACTGCAGGCTGGGAGAGCTTTGTGTTCACAACTTTTCTGTTACCCTGATAAAACACCATGACCAAAAGAGTTTATTTGGGCTTACAGTTCCAGAGGACTGAAGGTCCATCATGGTGAGGGGGGAAGTAGCAGATTCAGCAGGAGCAGGAAGCTGAGAGATCATCACATCGCAACAGGAAGCATAAAATAGGATAATTTGGAAGTAGGGCAAGGCAGTGCGTTCTCAAAGCCTGCCCTCAGTGACATACTTCCTTTAGCAAGGCCACACCTCCTAAACCTTCACAAACAGCATCTCCAAGTGTGCCCTGAGTGTGCAAATGCCTGATCTCAGGGGACATATTTCCTCCTTCAAACCATCACAAGCTGGAGCTTGTCCTGAATATAGGCAGGGGAGAGAAACTGAAGTTCATAGATCATTTCAAATACCTGATTGTTTAGAAAACATTTGACCAACACTCCCCAAATCTTACAAAACGTGAAAAAAATTGAAAACCAAGCAAATAAAAATAAAGTACACAAATGAGAATGGAGTTTTATTATACTGCTTTGTTCATGGTGTCGACAATGCATCCTAGTGTATGTAATGACATATCATGACATTATCTGTATTCTGTAATCTGCAATATATCATAACAATGCTGATGGAGCGAGAACTGTAATTTAATTATTCTGTGGAGATAGAATACTTGGAAGGAATGGTGGAAGTGGTTTAGATATATCCATCACTTCAGTGTTCAATAAGAAAAACATTTAAATTGATGGATTAAAAAGCAGAAGCGTAGCGTGTTTTTTCAGAAGTAGAGATAAGTACCCCAAGAAACTAAAAGGTTAAAAGTGATACCTGATGGGAGGGCAGGGGGTTAAGGGACAGCTGGCTTTCTTTATCAAGTTTTACTACTAATATTTTGACTATATGCTTGTGTAACTTTGATTAACTAAAAATTCCAGAAGGATCTCAGAAGGAGTCAAGTTTAACCCCCAAATCAGAGTGGATGCACTGTGTTAACTTCCCTGGCGGCTGAGGTCAAGTGTCCCTTTCCCAGCTCCACCTCATTTCCAGAATCACCTGAATATTCTAAAGGTCCAGAAATGCTATACCACAAAAAGTTAACGAAACCCGTTTTCTGTTCTGAAACAGAACTTGCTTGCTGGCAGTTTTAATGTGTATAATATAATTCTACCATACTAATCTTTACCCAGTAGAACAATTAAACAAATTAAAACATTTGTTTTCTGGCCTTTGTATGAGAAGTTGTTTGTATCACTGTACATTTTGAATCTCATTAAGAAGTTCTTCAGATGGACCTCCACAGGGTGGTTTGTTTCTGACGAGGCGGTCACAGGCATCATTAGGAACAGGACATGTAGAGATAGTGTCCCAGGCATCGTAAAACACAGTAACAGTCATCATATGAATAGTACAGCACAAAGCTAGCCTTATTAAAGCTCTGTGGCTCCCTTCTGCTTGCCCCTCTCTGCTTCTCTAGGATACAGACCAGAAGCTCAGCATGCTTTCCATCATGGGCGATGAAGACCTCAGTTTGAGTAGTGAGAGCTCTCCGCCGTCCTTTCTGTTTTCTGAGGAATCCTCCCACTTCCGCCCCATCTACCTGGGAGAATCTGCTGCCTTTTGTATTCAACTCTTTTGTATTGATGAGAAATATGAGGCGAGGCAAGTGCTGATCTCCAGTTTGTCTGCTGTGCTAAGAACTTCTTTGGCAATAATTTTTTCACAGTGTGTGGTCTTTAAACCAGACCCCATGTCCTGGGGATCCTAAAACAATAGAATTCTGGGCCCCATCCAGAGGTGCTAGTCCATAAAATTTGGGTAAAACCTACAGAATGGGACATAAATATCTGTTCCAGTCTATTTCACCTGTACCATGGTTGGAGATCTGAAAAGTCCTGTGTAGCCACATACTGTCTCCATTCTGGATAGTGTGCATTTCTCCAAGCCTTTGAGTCTGTACTGTGTTTGGATGCAAGCAACAGAAAACCCACTTGAAACAAGGCTGGCACAACTGAGGATAAGTCCAGTGATAGGGCTTACGTTAGACAATGCTAGGTCCCAGACTTGGATAATCAAATTGAGGAGGAACTTTTTCTTTACCTATTCACTCTGACTCCCTGCTGTTGGTCCCAGTCTCAGAAGACAGGGACAGTCTCAGGTCTGCAGAAGAATCCCATGGGAAGGTTTTCTGGTTGGCGCTGAGCTTTGCGGCCAAAGTGTCAAGAGGCCTACTTGACTCGGTGCTCATTCCTGTAGTTTAATGTGTAGTCAGTCTCTTGCCTCATGCTCCACTCTTAATCTGGAGCAGGAGACACACCAAAATGTAAGATAAGAGGGGGTAAAAGGAACACCCTACAATTCAGGGAAACTATCAGAAGAAGGAGGCATGATGTCTGGCAGACAAAGTCTGGCTCCCACTTCCTGTCCCTAAAAAGCATCTGTGTATGCTATGCTTGTGGCCCCCATTTCTCAGTCTGAATAGGGACCATAGCCTGATGCCTGAATTGAGCATCGCCTTCAGCAGTCACCTACTACAACCTTATCCACAAAATGCTTTGAAGAGGGAAATATGTGCCCATTTTGATGTGTACCCATTTTGATAGAGCAGAAGGTTCTACAGTACCTTTGAACTAACCAAAGACAGTGCTGGTCATTTCCTTTTTAGAGGGTGCATTTAAACATAATCCTCACCTTTTAGGTTCTAAAAGTATGGGTTTTTAGATATTAAATGTTCAACGTTATGGAGATCACGGAGGTTGAAAAGGGAAATCTTTTTATTTCAGTTACATTGCAGAATAAATAGCCTGGAGTCGCCTTCTACAGTTGTCTTATGCTTATTTTTTTTCTGCTTTTAGATAAAATTGTGCATAGACAGTTATTTTTTTATTTAGTTTGATGACACCTTATAATTTGTCTATGAAGGCACAAATGTGGCTATTTAGAAAATATTTTGCAAATAAAATAAAAAAGATCAGAATAGCCAGTATCACACAACCAAATCTCTCCTTAACCCTTCCAAGAAGGGAGGGTCGATCATGTCCACAGAATGCCCATCGTTAGTATTGCCTTTTAACTGCACAGATATTACTGGGCACAGTGAGAGTGTTCAAAGATTCTTCGTTGCTGCCACAGGAAGCCTACAGTGTATGCAAATGATTAGCATTCACCCGTGTAAGTGATTAGACACTACTCTGGCTGGCTAACTGCTGAAAGGGGGTAGGGTATATAATGAACTGTCTCATGCATGATGCTACATTTATTTGCGGCCCAGTAACATTGTTCACTGTCTTATTTACAGGTCCCTGGATTTTATGAGTTTTGTTTTCAGTCTTTTTCCCGTGAGTACATGCCGAATTCTGAGTAAGAAAATTGGTTTTGTAGTTAACTTATAGAAAGACAGAATATTTCTTGTACAGACATTTAACATGCTATGAATGTTGAGGCTTGAACTGCTCCCCCATTCTGAAAAGATGGCCAAGTGGCACGTCGTGAACTCTTAAAAATAGAAAATATTGCAATTTTTTTTTTCCGGTAGTGTGTCTGCTGTGGGATTGTTTCTTTTAGAGACAACATTCCAGTATTTTATTGGGATTAAATAATTCACAGCCATATATGAAAATGCCAGTAGTTAGGAATCCTTAGTGCCTGCGATTGTTGGATCGCTGTCTGGTTTACATTGGCTCAGACTATCCGGGCATCAGTATAATGCTTTGTGGCAGGTGGGAAGGAGGAAACTTGTGGTTGATCTGCAGCTTGGCTTTTCTTCCACACTCATTCCTGGGGCCTAACACGGTGGCTGGAATGTAGAAGGAGCTCATCCCGTGTTGGACATTGTCTGAGATCAAAGTACAAACATACTCCTCCAACTTAGAGACTCTGAGCCCCTCCATTGTCCCATTGTTGTCTGGAGATGGGGATCCCAGCCAACAGCTTACCATGGGAAGGAAAGGAAGTGAAGAAGGACGATAATCAAGGGAAACAGTAGGTCTTCAGAAGGACCTTTCTGATGCTTAGCTGTGACAGTTATATGTACAAGTGTACTTCTTCACTAGGCAAACTTAAAGCAGAGACTCTGTTGTTTTACGTGTCCTTTCCACTTGGTATGTTGAGACAAAAACAGATATAGTTTAATTACATGTTCTTAGATTTTACTTGCTGTTTTTTTTTTTTTTTTTTTAAAGAAATGAAACAGCCTTAGAATAGGGCAATATAGTCCCCGCTGTGGTTTCTTTAAATTGATTTTTGAGGCATTTTCAAAGCTCATAGAGCAATGTGGATTAACTCAAACAAAGAATTTTCAAAGCTGGTTCCCTCAAAGATGCCTTAAAGACATTTCACCGAGCTTCATTCCTATTTCAACATTCACATTATAAAAGTAAGACTGGATTTTAATGGGCAGAAGACATGTTTACGTTTTTTACTCTATTTGACTTGGGGATATAAGGATCCAGGAACAAAATACCATCATTACTTCACCCTTAATCCCTCAAATCCAAGCTGAAGCAACTCATTATCGTCAGCACCCCCTCCCTGAGGAAGCCCACCGAGACTTGGCACCCAGTCCTTATTTTCGGCTTGAGTAGCTCAGCATTGTAATTCTAAAGTCTCTCTGAAAGAAGCTGTGTTATTTTGCTAGAAAGAAGGAAGATAAGTTCAAATAATGACTCACTCCTTGGGGCTGCAAGATGTCCCGAGGGCCTTGGATTAGCCCAAGTAATACCTTCACAGGGTTCAAGAGGAGGCAAAGTCCCAAAGGGACAAATTAGCTCTGGGAAGAGCAGGCTGCCTCTGTGGGGACCTGGGGCAGGATCAAGTGGCTTCGAAGAACACAGAGAGCTTCGAGCTGTACTGTCCTAGACACTGGAGTGAATGTTCCAGTCGCAGCGCCAACAAAGAATAAAAAGGAAGAAATGAAACTCCTGATTATAACACATTTCACCCAGTTCGATGTCTCAGATGCAGCCTTTGCAGCATGCAATCAGTGTCAACAGTGCTAATGAGCTGTGTTATATTCCTCATCCTCACACCAAACTTTGAAGTACAGTGTTTTTAGATTGCAGCACATCTCAGTATAAGAAATGGATTTTCCTCAGCAGTGTTTAATTTTATTTAGGTCTCAGGTCTCATGTGATTTGCAGTTAGATAAGAAACTTCCTATATTCAAGTTGGGGTGGATAGATTGACATGACTCTCTCTCTCTCTCTCTCTCTCTCTCTCTCTCTGTGTCTCTCTCTCACCCCTACCTTGTCCAATAAATGGAATGAAACTTGGTGCCAGTCTTTAAAGTTTAAATTAATGAAATTAAGTTAATTAAGTGATATTAAATTAAGAATTTAGTTTTTCAATCACACCAGCTACATACAATGCAAAGTCTCATTGGTCACATGTGACCACCTGGCACCTGGGAGAGCAAGGTCTAGAGAGGTAAATGGCATCTGTCTGGACTTGCTGATCCTTCTGTGTCTTCTGGGGTTCACGCTTGCCTTTAGATTGTCACCTTGAAAGGATGATGACATGACAGAGGAGTCATTTATAACCAAAGAGTTTTAAAGGCAGAAAAGCCTGGAGTACCACTCAAATTTCAGAGGCGGGGCCAAGCTTCTATAAATTTCCTGTCTTAAGTTCAAGGCCATTGTTATGATATGCTGTCTGGTTTACTCACTGATAAAACTAAATTCCCAAATGTGATGGTCCTAGTTCAAAAATCTGGTCCAGGTATCATAGCACAGGCCTGTAATCTAGAAACCTAGAAGGCTGAAGAAAGAGGATTACAAGTTCAAGACATGCATGGACTACAGAGAAAAGTCTGGGCAACTTAGTGAAACTTTTCTCAAGATTAAGAAAAGAAAAGAAAAGAAAAGAAAAGAAAAGAAAAGAAAAGGCTAGTAAGACAGCTCAGTGGTAGAGTCCTTGGTGAGATGGCTCAGTGGTAGAGTCCTTGGTGAGATGGCTCAGTGGTAGAGTTGTTGCCCAGCATATGCCAGGTTCTGGGTACAATCTCCAGAGCTACAAAATTAAAGTCAGTAAGATGAAGTGTTAGGAATTGATTGTGATAGAACATATCTCTAAATCTGTGATCCTAGAACTCGGGAGGCTGAGGCAGGAGGATATGAGTTATGCGTTGGAGGTCAGGTTTGGCTTCATATAATACAGCCCTGTCTCAAAGCAGCTGCAACAATGGGAATCTACTTCTGTAAAAGAGTGCTTCTGAATGGGCCACTCTATGTTACAGCCATTTGTTCAGCTCTCAGTCAGCTTCAATGGTGTCTTCTCCATCTCCTCTTAGTTATTTGGCTCTATGAGTTTTATTAATGACTCCAAATGGTAGAAAAGTGAAACTTGTGCTTTGTCTCACTTCTGTTTCCCATGTTTTTTTCTTTTTTCTTTTCTTTTTTTTCTTTTTTTCCTTTTCTTTTCTTTTTTTTTTTTTTTAGCATGGATTTGTTTAATATTAAATGGCTTCTTTTGTTCTCCAAATGTCTTATTGATTTTTAAAAATCATTTTTAGGATAAAAACTTCTGCTTGATATCTGTGCCTCATCTCACACCTGAGTTTGTCCTCATCCAGAACTTTGTAAAGGTCGTCCCATTTAACAATTGTACACTAGAGCATGATCTCTATGTGTTCCATCGAGCTGGACTGCTCAGGTAAGTGGACTCATATGTTGTGTGACTTCCTAGGAGAATGATAATGTCTTGTGCTAGTTTGAATGGAAAATGTCTCTCATAGGCTTAGGTATTGGAATACTTGGTCTCCAGTAGGTGATGCTGTTTGGAGGAGGTTATAGAACTTTTAGAAGGCAGAGACTTGCTGGAGCAAGTATGTCACTGGGGTCAGGTTTGGGAGTTTGTAGCCCTGTCTCATTTTTGATTGTACTCTTTCTACATGCGGTTGAAGATATTAATTACCTCACAACCTCCACATCTCATTTGCCATTTTGGAGTCTGCTGTATGGAACCATAAGTCAAAATAAACTTTTTCTTCCATAAGTTGCTTTTGATCACAGTATTTTATCATAGCAACAAAGAGTAATAAGGCAGCTGCATCACTGAAAAGCCCACACCAGCATGGGTGATGACTCTACAGCTGATATTCTCTTATTTCATGACAAAGAAATCAGGAAAAGAAAACACAAATATCCGTACAAGCACATTTCAAGCAAAATATGATATAAGCACTCATATCACTTACAATTCTTATTTATGCAGCTGGTCACATGAACTTTGCTGGTATTTATAACTACTGTCCTCTACTACACATTCTGGATTTCTTGCTCTTTTCCTTGAGGAGCGACCCATACCTTCATTTCTGAAAGGTCCGTGCCCTTTGTCTTCCTGACTGGATTAGGCTGTTGTAATTTCCCATTGACTTTAATCACAGGACATGGTAGCACCAAGAGATGCCATAAAGGATCTCCTGCACTTCAGGCATAATCTTTCTTACCTCCATCATGCAGGAGCAGTGCAGTGTCCCCTTGGTAGTCTGGATCAATCACCCTTCTTAACACTGTTATTCCTTTCTTAGCCTGGTGGCATAAGAGCGTCAGAAGCTCAAAATGGCCAGGGAAAAGTCCAAGCTTCCAGTGTTAGAAGTAGGTTTTTCCTTCCAGTCTGGTCCCACAGCCATGCCAGCCCCAAATAACACACAGAGGCTCTGTATTAGATATAAAGCTGTAGGCCAGTTACTAGTTTCTTATCTGCTAGCTCTGTCTTAAATATTAACCCATTTCTAGTAATATAATTATTTTCACATGGTCTCATCTTACTGGAGAGAGGGGCCAGCATTCTGCTCTCTCTGTCTTCCATCTTGAATCTCTTCGTTACTCCTTCCAGAATCCTCTTTGTCTCCTAGTCCTGCATATCTTGTTTTCCTATTGGCCAACAGTGCTTTATTCATTAACCAATAGGAGAAACATATTTACAGAATGACATCTCCCATCATTCTGGCTCAATGGAATGTTTGTTGTGGCTCCTAACAAGAGTGCTCCCCCTTCTGGAACTAAAACTTCTAGACAAGGAGAACTTAAGGTCATGGGAACAGAAAGCAAAACTTTTCCTACTGGGTCACTAGAGGTGATGATGGAATTAATGCCTTTTCCATCTCTTGATTCTTGAACTCATGGACCCTGGCTATGGGAGAAACTGTACCATATATTGGATGCTGACTCAAAGCATATACTGCCTTCTGGAGAACTCTGCCCCAGTCTTCCAGGTGGTGGCTGTCACCTAATTGGCTCTATAATTGTGTCCTCAAAGACCATTCCATCTTTTTATCAGACCAGTTGCTTCAGGATGATGAGAAACATGGTAAGACCAATGGATTCCACGATTGTGGGACTACTGTCGAAATTCTCTGGCTGTAAAGTGAGTTCCTTGGTCAGAAGCAATACTGTGTGGAATGCCATGTCGATGTATAAGGCATTCTGTAACTCCATGGATGGTGTTGTTTTTTGGAAGAAACATTATGTGCAGAAGAGACAGATCCATAACCAGAATAACCAGAATAAGTACCTACCCCAGTATGGACAAAGCACTGTCCAGTCCATGGAGGATGCAGTCCAATGTAGTCAACCTGCTACTAGGTTGTTGGCTGGTCAGCCCAGGGAATGGTGCCATATCTGGGTCTCTGTGTTGGTCTCTGCTGTTGGCATATCTGGCACTCAGCATTAGCTGTCACCAGGTCAGCTTTGGTGAGTGAAAGTTCAAGTTGCTGAGCCCAAGCACATCCCCTGTCTCTGCCACCAGGACCACTTTGTTCATGTCTTCATTGGGCAGTAACAGGAGTTGCCATGGAAAGAGTCTGACTGTCCACAGAATGGGTCATCCTGTCTACTTGACTACTGAACTCCTTCTCATATGAAGTCATCTTATAATCAGAATTTACATGGGTCACAGGTGTATCAATGTGACAGATAGTAGAGTTCAAACTGAAGATCAGAGAAGCCAGGCAGCCAGACACTCTGTGTCCCTGCCAACCTTTGCTGTTCTCCATATGGATTTGGCCCTTCCAGCAGCTCTCTGGTAACCCTTCATTGGTGCTGTGAATATGCAGTTCCTTAGTGATGGATGCCACTGAATGATTGTGCTAATGTATTTCAGATGCTTACCCTTCATCCATGTGGCCTCTCTGGTGAGGTGTCACTTAGATTTTTTTGCTTCCTTTTACTTAGGTTGCTCATTTCAGTTTGATTTAAAATAAATCATAGATACCTGTTATTTCTATAATAGAAAAATGTTAATTTGGTATCAGACTATCAATTCAAGTTCAGCGTTTACAGTAGCTGGGAGAATACTTTCAGTTAGGAATAAAATAAAGCCAATTCAGGAAGAGCTTCTGCCATTGATCGACTCCATAAGCAGGAGGTCTGGGGACAGATAGGCAGGACTTCAAGGTTCGTGTTTTAAGGACCTTTGTTTCTTTCCTTTCTTTTGCCATGGCCTTTTCTGTGTCTGCTCCATCTGCAGTTGGCTCTTAACACATTGGCATGGCCGCAACATTCTGGGCTGACATCCATGTAGCGCCACGGCCGGAAGGTACAGGCTAATTGAGTGCTTTCTTTCCCAAAAGCCCACAGTGGAGCTCCCCATTGGTCTAATAGAATATGCAGCTGTGTGCTTATGGTAGTTCTAACCCAGGTGCTGGGGAAACATAGGTGACCCAAACCGACAGAAGTCTTGGCTCTCATGGGGCCCTGCATTCTTGCCAGGGGAGGAAGACACAAATAAATGCTGGCCTTTCTTCTTGTTCAGTCATTGATGGAGGGTATATTTGGTTGTCATTAATGGAGGGCACATTTGGTTGAACTGGTAGCCCATTCCCTCTTGCTACCTTTCCATGTTGTGCTTTTCTGAAATCTGACCTTTTCCTTTGTAGGAAGACATACCAGACTTACTCATCCAACTAATATTTATTGTGCTAGAAACACAACTTCTTGGCTAGGTCATACAGCCATTGTCAACATTACTCAGTAAATAAAGATGGCCTTCAGTGGTTAGCCTCTGAGAGATTCTTCCCTTCAATATATTTGTTTTATTTGCTTTTCTGTGAGTGGCTCATACATGCTTTGTTGCCATTTTTTCTATGATGTAGCCATTTTACTCATTTTAGGCTCATATTATCATGGCTAATGTATAGTGATATCACATCTGTCCTTTGTTCCTCGTGCCCTTAATGGGCCTCTTTAATAGAACACAATACAAAGTTTGTTTATTGTTTTGTTTGGGGCCTGGTTGCTTTCTTGTCTGTGTATGAGTCATACTGATATGTTGATGACATTTCACATATTCTTCTGTACAACTTTTGTGTCCCCTGACTGGCATCAAAATTGCCCAATTTTCTGTGAGACACTAACTGGAAAGACACACAAATCTGAAGTTTCTAAAAGCATTCATTCAGTTTGGAGTTGAAAAAGATACATGGTAAATCTTTCTTGTTACTTTTCATACATCATTATCTATTTTATTTTGTATATGGTCAAATTGAATACCTCAAATCCTTGCCTTTAAGGCCAGACTCACTTTTTTGTTTGTTTGTTTGTTTGTTTTTGTTGTTGTTATTTTTAAGGGGATAATAGAACATCTTGTGGTGAAGCAAGTTACCAAGACTGAAAAACTTGTAATACCCAAGGAAGGACCAGTAGGCAAGGGCTTCATCCTTTTTTCATGGACCCCGAGAGAAAGGGTGCCCAAGATGGCTGTCTTGGGGAAGGAAAGGGTAGGGAAAGATTTGTCAAGAGAACCTGCTTTGCTTTTTTTTTTTTTTTTTTTTTTTTGGTGACACAGAAAGCCTTGTGCTTAGATAAGGAAAAATACTGCTAATCTCCCACTTTGACTCAGGGTACTTGAATCCTGAAGAAAAGAATAGTTGGATCATTATGGTCACCAGGTGTGCAATTGTCTCTGGGAAGGGCCTGCAAGGCAGAAAGGGAAGAAAAGAACTAGAGTGTTAACATATGCCAGAGTGAAAGAATGGGCCCTCAACAGTGGACATAACGAGAAAGAGAAAGTTGTAGGAGTTTATGGAGAGACGGAAGTAGAACGGCACTTAGGTGCATCCAATGAACCACTGTCTTCTGCAGCTCTGCCAGCCTGAAGGTGGATGTGTAGATATCAGAGTGGATTTTTTTCATGTTTATCAATAGATGGATAGAATGAATAAAATAGAATAGGATATGAATAGAATGAATCAATAGATTTGAAGCTGGTTATATACGCAGTCTTAATATCATTTTTACAGTCAATGAATATTCTTACTCTTTATGATTTATCTAAGAATATGGCAAGAAATAAAGACAGCTTCTTGATAACTGGGCAACACATGCTGTCTCCTTCTGGAGAATGTATGTGGTACATCATATATATTATGATTGTACATCTTGATATAGAATGTTAAGCATTCTCCTTCCCCTTCCCTTTGCTCCTTTCTCCCTCCCCCCTTTCCCCTTTCCCCTAACTCCCTTTCCCCACTTACTCCCTAAGCATTTGTAAGAGTTGTTTCAACGTAACCTGATTTTCCCAGGGGCTTTTCATAGCTAAAACATAAAGACCTCCATAATTCATGGTTCATGCACAGTAAAGTTTTAAGGGACTTTTGGTTTATTTCCTAGATTGTGGTTCTGGAATCAATACAGGGTCAGTCTGATGAGAGCAGAAATCATGAAGTAACTTGTTCTCCCATTGGGTACCCATCACCTGGACACCCTGGGGAGCCATTTGTGACTGGTTGCATGAATGAACTGTTCTTAGTAATGTCAATTTAATGGTTGAGTTTTAGACAAATACATTTTAATTGGGAGGTTTGCTCACTTTTCATGTTTTCTGGATGTTCCTGCCAATTTTTATATAGAAGCAATTAGGATGTATATTTATATTTCCTTTCTGCCAGCTATAGGTTCTCTCATCTCATTCCAGTTAAAGCCAAAACAAACAGGCCACCTGCTATTGATAGAACCAGAGGCAGAAGCAACAAGGAGTCCTCTGTGTACTAAATCTATCTCTGCTCATTGTTTTGTTTTGAGATAGGGTCTCACTATTATCCTACAGTGGCCTAGAACTCTGTCTTCCAATATCAGCCTTCTAAGTAGAGATGTGTGCTCTGCACCCCTCACCTCTCCTCTCCCCGCCCCCCTTCTCCTCTTCCTGAGTTAAAAACTTTTGTAAAATAGCTCTCAGGGGCCTGGAGATATAGCAGTTAATAAAGTGCTTGCCCACAAAGCAGAGAACCTGGGCCAGATCCCCAGAACCCAAATCAAAGGATCCCAGCACCGGGGAGGTGGAGACAGCAGTACCCTGGCTAAATGGCCAGTCAGGTTAACCTAATTGGTGAGCTCTGTACCAGTGAGAGACCCAGTCTCAGGAGGTAAATTATATTCCTGAGGGATAAATACAGGCATGTGGAACAGCTCCATCCATGAAGAAAAATGCACTGTGAGTATATTTGTGATTTTAATTTTTCTAGTAGACACATTAATGAACAGATTAATAGTAGGTAAAACTATACCTCAGTATTCACGTGTGATCAGTATAAAAGCATTGAATTGTTTTGTAGTCTTGTTTGTTTTAGTGAATCAAAATTCAGTTGACATTTAGGGTACTTAGAAAATTTGAGTAGCCACATTTCAAGCAACTAGAAAGCCTTGTGTCAGGCAGGGTAGCCTTAGTTGGTGGTTACTACTGCCCATTCCTCCTCCTGCTGAAATTCCAGGAACATATAAAAATTCTCAAGTGTTCTTCTTTGCTGGATATAAATAGCAGACACATGAGCTTCTTGGTATAATGCAAATGGTTGTGTCAGCTGACCAGATTTCTGTGGACAGAGGAGAGAAATGATGTTTGTGTTTTGTGACACTTAGGAAAAAACCTCCAAGTCATACTGAGCACTTATTCAGTGTCACTGTAGGCTAGGAGAAACCCCGACTTTCAAAGTAGACCATGGTATGTGGTCCGAGCTTGGAGCTTTGAGGAAGGTGTTTGTGCTGGCCAGTTTTGTGACAACTTGACCCAAGCTAGAGTCATCAGAGAGGAGGAGGAATCAATGAGAAAATGCCTCTGTAAGATCAGGCTGCTAGCAAGCCTGTATTGATCCTAGCCCACTGTGGGTGGTACTACCCCTAGGCTGGTGATCCTGGGTTTCATAAGGAAGCAGGATGTGTAAGCCAATAAGGAGCAAGCCAGTAAGCACCACTCCTCCATGACCTCTGCATAAGTGTTTATCTCCTTGTCCTCGCCCTGGTTGAGTTCCTGTCCTGACTTTTTTTCCCATCAACAAACAGTGATTTTGGAAGCCTGTGACAAATAAACCCTTCCTTCCTGGAGTTGCTTTTGGTCATGGCGTTTCAACACAGCAATGGGAGCCCTAACTAAGACAGTATTTATGTTCATTTACTTTCCTGGCTCCTGCTACACACTATAACTCAATTGTAGCACTTATCACAGTCAGAAAGGCATGTTGTAAGCATGGGAAGCTCTGGCTGATTCCACATAGGCTATATAATTCATGTTACTGGGATTAGTGTTGCAGAGTCATGTGCTATGACTCAAGATTTTATAGGCATCACTCTGGCAGCTCAGTTGATGATGGAGTTTAAGCTTATCCAAATTTTTTACAGTATTTCACATCAATTTATATTAATTTTTACTCCAGCAACATGAAACTATTTTGGCAGAAACTTGGTGACTTGACATTGTTCTCTCTGCTGAGATGTTACTTTATCAAATAAAACTTTTTTTTTCCCTTAAGACTTCAGTCTTAAGTGCTAATTCATTTGTTATTTATGTAGCCATATCATTTTGGTTTGACTATTAGTTGCCATTGTCATTCCCTTCTTTTCCTTTTCAACCTTCTTTGATATTTTATATATATATATATATGCACATAGACTATAATAATACAATAAAGCTTATTGAGATATAATTAATAATATTCCCACCTAATTATATAATTTAGTGGTTCTTAATAGATATATAATGATGTGTATTTGTCACCTTTATTCTCATTTTTTGTCACCTCTAAGCCTACCCATGCCCACTGAATAGTCATCTGGTTACCTTGTATCCACAGTCGACCAATCTCCTTTCTACCTCTAAACTCACCTATTCTGGACATTACATAGAAATGGAATAGCACGATGTGTGGCGTTCACATGTGGCTTTTGTCACATGTAACATACCTTATCACTTTATTTCCTTCGGTGGCTGAGTAATTACATTGTATACATATGCCACATTCTATCTATCTATCTATCTATCTATCTATCTATCTATCTATCTATCTATCAGTTGACAGACATTTATTTTTCCTTTGGGGTGTGTGACTAAGGTGTTATGGACATTTTGTAGGATATTGTTTTCATTTCTCCTATTTCATAGGATATTGTTTTCATTTCTCTTATTTCCCTAACATGTTTGGTCTTGTTTTTAACATTTACACCTTTAGTCTATCAGAACTAGATTTTTGTGCAAACTGTCCATATCATAGCCAGGTTCTCATCTTTGTTTTAAAGATGGCTTATAATTATCATTGAGATGATATTAGTTGATTTAATTAATTGAATTATTTAACCAGTAAATTGCATACATATACATCCTTGCAAATGAACCATTTTTAAAAATAAGGTTACCATGCCTTACAATTTAAGCACAGATGTTCACCACAATTAAGAGTTAACTAGGTTAGAATCTTTATTATTAAGAGGAGTAACATTGTTCTATTTAGTGTTAAAACTGATGACTAGAGAGAATGAGATATCAGGTTATCTATATAACACATGGACCCATTACAAAATGAAAATATGGAACTTTGGCTTGATGTGGGATAACTGCTCCAACCCTTGACACATGCATCATGAAAGGGCTTAAAGCCTCCATCCCAAAACATACTAAAAGCATGGGCAATGTCAGCACCTATGTGCATCATGACTATACTCAGCAAGGAAGGGAACAGCCACCCCATTGCTATCTCTAGAGAACACCATGTACCTGATTCTCAACTTTCGCTACATCTATGCCCAGTACCCCGCTTGGGGTAGAAGATGGTTTTAAACACATCTTTGCTGCATCCTTCACAGGATTCTTCAATGTCCAAGGTAGAACCCAGTTATCACTATTTACACAGAGAGGCACCAGTGAGGAGGGGGTGGTGAGGTAGGGGACAGGTGGGAGAAGACTCAACAATGGACAGGAGGAAGAGAGAATCAAGTAGAAGCCATGGCTCTGAACACCTAGACATGTTCTTCTGTCTCGCCAAACTTTGCTTAAAGACACAAAATTACAGAAGAAAATTTTAAGAGTTTTAAGATGTTGATCTCAGAGAATTAAACTCCAAGGACGAGGCCACTTTGGGTGTTCTATAGGGAGCATGCACATTAAGCCAACCCCAGTCATTGTAATTTCTCCATTATAAAACTTTTTTTTTATTAAAATCTAGGAGAGACTGTAAGAGTCAGAGGAACAGAAAGCCTGCTGTGAGCTCATGTCTCCTAGAAATGACAGGGAAGCTACATTCATGGACCTCAACAACATGGCTGCTTAATTAAATAAGTCCTGAACAGTGAAGATGCTGATAGTCAAGGCTGTTGTGCAAGGGGGAATTCTCAAAGGGTCCCACCCCTAGACAAAGAGCTACAGACGACTAGTTAACAACTGCTGAGAAGGGAGATTAGACTCTCCCAATGATGAATCCCTTAATTGGTTATCCGTATCCGATTCCGAGTGGCCATCCTTAAAATCATACACATACAAACAACACTAAATGGACTCAGCAGACTATATTTATATGTCTATGTATTTATAAATATATGTAATAGTAACAAAGAAAAGAGGTCATGAATTTGAGAGTGAGCAAGTGTGTACAGAGGTACATAGAATGGGAGGGAGGCAAGGAAGGGGGAAATGATGTAATCATATTTAAAATTTAAAACATTTTTAAAAATTGGATAGAAGGATTTTAGATATCTGTGAAATGTGAAATAAAGTATGCCGGACATTTTAAATTATATGCATTAAATTATATGTATTTAAATTATATATACTTGAAGTGTAACTTTGTGTTGTCATTGGTTCATAATACCAGTGATTTTTTTATCTTATTCTTTGTAGTTCTTGTATATTTTTAGGTACTCTAGAATGAAGTTATTTTTATAATCAATCACCTTAATGTTACATATATATATATGTATATATACATATATACATATATATATGTATGCACTGCCAGATATTAATAAAAGTGTGGTATTATTTATTTTAGTACTATAACTAAGAAACCTATTTCTGTTCTTGTCCAGGTCAATTAAGATAAGATTAGCCAATTTTTTGGATACTGATGGTGTTGAAAATCTTGTGAGCACCCTCATGCTGAGTAGAAAGATAATGGATGATTTAGCCCAGTACAACGAGGCTTGCAGAGATCCCGTAAGTACTGCTGGTGGCTGCTGCAGCCTCATTTTTCTGGTCCTTAGGGGTCATTATGTCCCATGAAGATTCAGGCTTGAAGCTTCCTTGAATATCATTTGTAGGATCCTGTTGTGGGGAGCAGCAGAGGTGGGAGGAGGAGTTGGCAGATGTGACTGTCATTATGGAAGGACAGCTTAGGAATGTATTTGATGTCCACCCCAGTAGCAATGAGTACCAGCCTTAGGTGAGTGGGGCTCCATTTTAATTATGTCAGATGGTGAACCTAGCTAGGATCTTTTGTTGAACTGGCTTGAGGCTAGTTTCAAGGACTAGATATAAGGATGATCATCTGCGGTCAATCTTTGGTCTTTCCTAGCATAATAACCTATACATGAACTGAGGAAAACAACAGGCCTGTGTCAGTCTACATGTTAACACTGAGTGAGGCTGAGTCAGTCTGCACGTTCACCTGAGGCCTTAAGGACACTGCCAGTTGACTTCTCTAGTTGTGCAGTTAGCCAAGAGGTTGGAGATGCATGCTGTAACTTCTCTAAAATGCTTTATTTTGAAACTACTTTATCAGACTATGACCAAGAAACATTTTAGTAGATTTTACCATTGAAATACACTGTGTAAGTAGGACCTGTTTCTGCAAAGAGACTGCCCCCACTTGTCATCGGCCCCCTCATACCTCCAGTTAGAAACTTCTTCTCAGGTTAATACCTTTGCTTCTAAAATCAGAAATTAGTTTTACCTGCTTTGGAGCTTTATGGAAGGAAAAATCATATTGTTTTCTTTCCTGGTGTGGAGTGCCTTTACTCAGCAACATGCTTGTGAGATTTGTTTGTATTATGACAAAATTATTTCATCACACAAATATATCACACCGTTCCTTCATTCTACTGCTACAGTCATTTGGAAACATGGGAAATAATGGCTTTTCAAACAAACCTTTTAAAGTTAATATTACATCACCAGGGCTATACCAAACACTTAATCATGATAACACCCTCAAGGTATGCTATTATAAAGGTACAAATTTAAAGTTTCCCTTCACTATGCTTTGGCTTTTCTTGGTCTCTTATCTTCATTTGTAACCTCTTCTCTTCTGCCTACCACTCAGACAGTGTGATCTCAAGCCCTGCTTCTCCAGGTGGTCTAATGAACATGAAGGGAGTGTCCTCTAAGACAAAAATGTTAGGGGGGCTGGAGAGATGGTTCGGCAGTTAAGAGCACTTGTTGCTCTTCCAGAGAACCAGGTTTAGTTCTCAGCATCCACATAGTAGCTCACAACCGTCTGTAACTCTAGTTCCAGAAGACCCAATATCCTCCTCTGACCAGCACAGACATCAGGCATACATGTGGTACATAAACATAAATGTAGTCAAAACACACATACAAATAAAATGACTTACACACACCTAAGAATATTAAACTTTTGAATGAGACTGAAGTGAACTTTTACACACACACACACACACACACACACACACACACACACGAGAGAGAGAGGAGAGAGAAGAAGAGAGAGAGAGAGAAGAAGAGAGAGAGAGAGAGAGAGAGAGAGAGAGAGAGAGAGAGAGAGAAGGAGAGAATGCCTTTTTACTGTTCAGTGCCTTTAACTTAACACTGAAGGTATAGAGTTACGAGCAAAGCAGCTGGGGCCTTGGCAGGAAACAAGCGAGAAACAGCAAGTATCCTGGTAGCCATGGTGGTATTCAGCTCCACAAAATCTTGCTGAAAAAAAAAAAAAGCCACAATAGGATATATTGTATCTTTATCTCTAGCAGAAGGGCTAAGACAAAGCCCAGTGGCTACTAGATGACAAGGATGCGTGAAAAACTCAATCACTCAGTTGCAGATACCATAGTAGACATATTGTTTTCTTTAAAAGACTAAAAATGCACATGTCCTATGGCTAGTAAGTTGTACTCTGGGACAGTTAGCCCCGAGAAATGATGATGCACACACAGCTATTCATAGCGGCTAGAATCATGTCAGATGGTTTTCAACAGACAGATGTATAAATAAGCTATGGCAGATCCATGCAATAGAGCACTACTCAACAATGAAAGGAATGAACTATTGCTATCAACCTTTATGAATCTCCACATATGTGGAGAGAAGCAAAGAACTTGTCCCCAAAGGTTGTGTAATTATATGTGTAGATTCATACTTAAGTATGAATACATTCAGATATACACATATATAACACTTATGCAGAAGTTCATAATTATACATTTGTATGTTTTAAAATGACAAAATTTTACAATTGGAGAGCAGATTATTTGTTGTTAGAGGCCAAGGGAGGGGCTAGGGAGATTTCCTTTTGTGGTACTGGAATTGTTTGATGCCATCATGGAGATTGAGACTCAAACCTGTATAAAGAAACAGAATCACACAAATCTGCTTGAATCAGGATCAGTTTCCCATGGTCTCACTATGCTCCAGCTTTACAGAATGTCATCATAGGGGATCCTGAACAATGTGTGAGAGGATTTTTATGTGGATCTACCGTTACCTCACCATTTAGATGGGAAGAGGCAGTTTACAGAATAGCCTTCATGAATCAGTAGCATTTTAACCCTATCGACCTTCAGCAGACTGTATTTATCACTCTGTGTGACACAATGAGTCATGTAACTGGTGCATCCTGAGGCATGTTGAGTATTTGAGAAGAAAATGCTTCTACAGATGCATGAAATGCACTTGAACCAGCTGCCATTTTTATAAAATACCATTTCCACTTGAAGAAATAAAAACTGCTAATTTTTTTTTTTTTGTTTTTTGTTTTGTTAAGCTTGGGTATTTAACCAGGATTTTCTTAAAATTAATAACATGAGCCTGTCAGCCTGGCAAAACAAGAATCACTTGCCCCCTGGAATAATATCTAATCAGGAAAAAAAATAAAAATTAAGAAAACCAGTATCTGCCATGATGAGCCTGATAGTTGCACATGCTTAAAGCAACGTTTCTGGTGACACTGTGTTTATAAAAAGTGTGACGTTATGGAATGGGTTGATATTTGGAAAACCTGTGCAGCTTAATGAATCAATATTTTCTAGTTTACAATGTGCAGTTTTATACAAGCATACATGTGTATATGTGTAAGAGTCAGTTACAACAGATTCTTCAATTTTAGTGCAGTAGAGTATACAATGTTTATCGACAGGGTTTTTGGGTTATACATTATAATTAATCTCAGGCACTACCAGTTGTAGAGTCTCAAAGGATATCCACAATTATCTGAAAAGATGCTCAGATTCTTGTCTTTTCTAACTACATTGTGAAGACATCACATTTTTCATGTATTTAAACCAAAACAACATATTGCAGTAGATTGACTATAGAAGCAGATGTGAGAATCCAGCTGTCTACTAAGCCAGATTAAAGAGATCTGCAAAAACTGGAAACAATGCCACTCCAAGTATTTGTGTTTAGGAAAATGTAAGATTTCTTTTGTTAAAAAAGTATGTGGTTGTGTCAATAACTTGTTTTATATAAAATATGTGTTTTATATGAGAAATAAAATGTTTTTTGATTGAACAGTCTTTATTATGTATACAGTGTTCTACTGCATGTATGGCTGCAGGACAGAAGAGGGCACCAGATTTCACTACAGATAGTTGTGAGCCACCATGTGGTTGTTGGGAATTGAACTCAGGACATTTGGAAGAGCAGGCAGTGCTCTTAACCACTGAGCCATCTCTTCAGCCCCAATAAAAACATTTTTAAATGAAACAGCTAGTTTAAATTTTTATTTTAGAAATACTTTTTAAAAGGGAATTCATGTCTTTTTGGTTTTAATTTCCAAATGGAAATCTCTTTGGAGCCCTTATTGAGTTGATGTCTTGTGGTCATAAAAGTTGGGGATGACTGGTGGAGAAGTGGGTTCTTTGTAAAAGGCACTGGGGTTCGGAGCATGGAAGCATGTCTCATGAGCTTACCTAGCTTCCTAAGCCTTGTTACCTTGAACTAAAGTAGATGGAATAACCCTTGCATTAGAGCATGGGGATGAAGAGGAAGAGAGCTGTGATCACAGCACGAGGCAGTAATGTTGGTTCTCTTATTGTGGCGACTGCAGTTGTGGCTGGTGGGTTCACATCATGGATGCACGAGTGACTGATTTCAGAGACCTTGGTAGCGACGCTTTCCAGGGTCTGTCTTAATAAAACACACTTTACCTTTGCAGGATGGAACAGCTCTGCAGGCGTTTGTAGCTGAAGTTGCAAATCAGATAGTTGGCATTGCAGTGATCAGGAAAGAAATGGTAAGCTCTGAAGTGGCCATTAACTTGCTTGATTGTGGCTTTCTATATCACGAACCAGCCAGCACACAGTGCCTCTTTGAAGGTTTTTGCTTTTACTTAACACGAATGAATCCTGTCCCTAAAGTATTTGGTCACGAATGTGTCTCCCACTTGCCAGCCTTTCAAGTCTTTTTGTTTTTGTTTTTAAGTTAAAAATATTTGGAATTTCCAGGAGGAGTTTTGCACATCTTTATCCCAGAACTCAAGAGGCAGAGGCAGGTGGATCTCTGTGAGTTTGAGGCCAGCCTGCTACATAGGGAGTTCCAGGACAGCCAAAGCTGCATAATGATATCCAGTTATGAAAAAAAAAAAACCAAAAAAACAGAACACACACACACACAAAATATTACAAAGAACATGAAAGGTGTTTCATTTTAAAAATTCTAATAATCTCCCACCATTAAAATAGTAGTAGTAGTAATAAAATAATGATAACAATAATAATAAAAAACCCATGCAACTGGTGTCACCAAAGGATTGCTACTATAGTTATCCACTTTTACTGGCATCTTTCTTTTACATTCAGTTACATATGTGTACCTATTGTCAAGTGGCTATGCCGTTTTATATTTTCCCCAATGGAATTATGCCAATATATTTATTACTTAATAGTCCATTCTTCTGTTGCTGACTTAAAATACTGCTTTAACATTTATTAATTTTCTATATTCCTTTGTTAGCTTTAAGTTGTATTCCATGCTATGGGTTTATTTATTGGTATCCATTATATTATCACATTTTGAAAATAACATATTTTTTTTTTATTTCATGGGCATAGGTATTTTGCCTGCAGCATGTACGTCTATTTACCTTGTGCATGTCTGGTACCCTCTGAGGCCAGAAGAAGGTGTCAGATGCCCTGGGACTGGAGTTACAGGCAGTCGTAAAACATTATGTGGGTGCTGGGAGTTGAACCCAGATCTTCTGAAAGAGCAGCCTGTTCTCTTAACCACTAAGCCATCTCTCCAGCCCTTACTTTATGTTGGATATCTAGTAACAGAGGCTTTTTTCATTGGTCTTGTTTGAGTTTGTTTATTTTATTGAGGTAGGGTCTCAAATAACTTATGTAGCCCAGGCTAGCCTTGAATTTGCTATCTTGCCATGGAATTGAATGTGATCTCTCTTGAATCTCCTGCCTCCAACTCCCAAGTGCTGGGATTACAGCTCTCTCACCAAAGTCAGCTTTCAATTGCCTTCTTTATCTAAATTTCCTTGGGCATGTCTCCCTTTAGGCAAACTTTCTAAAACACAGCATCAATTATCTCTGCCTGTGTGTATTATAAAAGCAGCTTATTTTACTCCTCGTGGTCTAGTTTTCTGTATTGTTCAATTCTAGGTTCTTTGGTAAATTTTTCATACATGTGCTTGGGCCAGTGATACAGTTTGGGGACAATTTAAGTATGTCCCCTGAAGATCCACACTTAGAATCTTTTCACAGGGTGACAGCATTAAGTGGTAGGGACTGGGACTGCGAGGTTACTGGGAAGTTGATGGGTCATCGGGGGTACTGCCTGGGAAAGAGATTAAGTAGTTCATAGGCATCCCGTTAGTTAGTAAGAGTGAGTTGTTATATAGAAAGTGGCCCCTTATCTCCTCTTTCATCTTACCATGTGACTCTCTCTCTCTCATCACATTTGTTCATGCCATCAGGCACCCTGCCTGGAGGCCTTCACCAGAGGCCAGACCAACATGGTGCATGTTCAAACCTCATATATATATATATATATATATATATATATATATATATATATATATATATATTACATATATACATATATCCCAACCTTGAATAGTTTGTTGTTGTCATTGCTTTTTAATAGTAATGGAAACGAACTAACGCAGTCAGACACTTACTCACCCTGCAGGCCTCCTGGCTTACCTTCCTCCCCCTTACTCTGTTCTGTGAGCTTGTGTGAACTGACAGCAATGCAAGCCCTTGAACTTTGGCCTTCTGTTGGGTTTGGCCAAAGGGAACCCTTGACAGGAGAAGGGAGGGCAGTGAAACTGGGGTGTCTACATCTGGCTGAGATCACATCAAGCCCACTGGCCTTTTTAATGTGGCCTTTTCTCCAGGGTGTCCTCCTAGTGGAATCCTGTGACCAGTCTGCCACCTATCCCACCCACCGAGGTCACTAATAGCTTACAGTTGCTATCTCACTAGCCCTATTAATTTCCTTACACCCTCCCCATCTCTGTAAATACCCCCTTTGTTGAGCCTACCTCCAATTATCCTAATTTGAACATACCATCTGTCTCCCTCCCTAGTATACTCTTAAGACATTTATGCTTTTATTCTGGGTATTTTGTAATTCTTTTCTTGGTACTGTATATAGATATCTCTTATTATACTTTCCAAAAGCTTATTTTAGAGTATTAGGAAAAGCACAGAGTTTTGTATTTTTGGCCTTGTACCCAATTACCCTTGTAAAGTCCCCTTTTCACTTGGAGTTTAAAATTGATCCCTGCTAACCCCCACCTCTGCTGGCATAGCATCACCTTCAGGCCATTCCATTGCTGTGAGCAGTCAGAGGCCATGGTCAGATTCAAAGGACAGAGGCACGTATTACACCTATCAGTGTGTGCGTGCGTGCGTGCGTGCGTGCGTGCGTGCGTGCGTGCGTGTGTGTGTGTGTGTGTGTGTGTGTGAGACTTTGCAGGAAAGCATCTATGGTGGTTATCCTGGGCCCTTCATTCTCCCCCTCTCTTGCAGCCTAAGGCTGGCCTCATGCTCATGTTGGCTGTGTAGACAAGGATGAGCTTGAACTCCCCACCCAAGTGCTGAGATTACAGATGTGACCACTATACCTGGCTTTGTGCTTTTTTTTTTTCAATTTTATTACATGGATAGAGTAATGTTAAATGGTGCTGCAGAAAAAGCCTACTTTTAGTTGTCTTTATTTTAATAGGATAATTCTATATTTTCTTTCATTTAACATATTATTTGTAAGTTTTAAGGAAATACCAAGTTCAGGAAATTTTCTACTTTTTGACCATTGAAGGTTTCTTTGATAGAAAGTTATTAAGTTTTTAGAGTTTACTGAGATGCTTGTGTAGAATTATTCCTTTATAGTTCCTTGCATTTATTTCTCTTTTTGATGCAATGTATCTGATTTACTTTTTTAGACAATAGCATATAGCAAGATCTCTGAGTCTACCTACTTAGATGATGTTTCCATTTTTCCTCACACTGGATACTCATTTGATAGTGTATAGAATTCTCAAAGTATTTACCCTCAGAATGCCTGTGTAAACTGACATTGTCTCCAGTTTTCAGTGTCACTGATGAAATTTAACCAGAGGACAACCATATCCTTAATCCTTTTGTGTTGGCTGATTTTGTGTGTCAGCTTGATGCAAGCTAGAGTCATCAGAGGAAGGAGCCCCAGTTGAGGAAATGCCACTATGAGATCCAGCTATAAGGCATTTTCTCAATTAGGGCTCAATGGAGGAAGGCTCAGCCCATGGGGGTTGGTGCCACCCCTGGGCTGGTTGTCCTGGGTTCTATAGGAAAGCAGGTTGGGCAAGCCAAGTGGAACAAGCCAGTAAGCAGCGCTCACCCCATGGCCTCTGCAACAGCTCCTGTCTCCAGGTTCCTGTCCTGCTTGAGTTTCTGTCTTGACTTCCTCCAGTGATGGACTTTGACCTGGAAGTGTAAGCCAAATAAACCCTCTCCTCCACAACTTGATTTTTGTCCTTTGTGTTTTGTTGCAGCAACAGAAACCTTTGTAAGTAGGAGTGGACTGTTTGACCTTTCTTGAGTCTTGTGCAGAGTTTTTATCCATTTGTTTTGCTTTTGGAGACATGTTTTATTTTGGTTTTGGATGGTTGCTTTTTGTTTGCCTAATACAGAAATCCTGAGGTGTTATCAAAGAATACTTACTTGATGTCTCTGGGAGAAGCACTCCTCTATTAATTATTTCTTACTCTTCATGTTCTTCAGTCTCTCATGACGTTCTGTTTTAAGTGGGTTCAGGGTCTTTTCAGTTGATCCTCCAGTGTCTCTTGGTAGTAGGAATAACAGATGGGCAGAATGACACATGTTTCTCTCTCTCTCTCTCTCTCTCTCTCTCTCTCTCTCTCTCTCTCTTATTTAGTTTACATCCCAGTAGCAGTTTTTCATCCCTCCTCTCTCCCCAGTCCCTCCCCTCAATTCCCCCCTCTGTTCCCACCCCCAATCCACTCCTTAGGCAAGGGCAGGTCTCCCAAGAATTTCAACAAAATATGGAATATCAAGTTAGTGGGCAAAGAGGCCCAGTATGAGGAGTATTGTCTCAAAAGCCAGTAAAAGAGTCAGAGACAGCCCCTGCTCCCACTGTTAGGAGTTCCACAAGAAGGCTAAGCTACACAACTGTGACATGTATTCAGAGGGCTTAGGTCAGTCCCATGAAGGCCCCTTGGTGGTTTAGTCTCTGAGTTCCTATGAGCCCAGGTTAGTTGCTTCTGTGACTTTTTTTGTGATGCCCTTGACCTATCTGGCTCCTATAATCCTTTCTCCACTTCTGCTGCAGGATTCCCAAAACTTCATCTAATGTCTGCCTATGGATCTGCATCTGTTTCCATCAGTTTCTGGATGACACCTCTCTGATGACAATTGAGCTAGGCACCAATCAGGTCACAGGAGAGAGTCAGTTCAGGATGTCACTAAGAGTCTAAACTGGGGTCTTTCTTATAGATTCCTGGGAGATTACTTTGCACCAGGTTTCTACCTGATCCCCAAATGCCCCCCTTTCCAGTCATTTCTCTAAATATTCTTCCCCTCTGAGCCACCCAACCTGACTGTTTGTGTTCCCATCCTCACCTGCCATCAGTCTGCTCACAAAATCTATTCTATTTCCCCTTCCCAGGGAGATCTGGATGAACCCTCATTGTTACCTAGCCTCTCGGGGCTGTGGATTATAATATAGTTATATATAACCACTTGGGCATATATTGTGTTTGTCTTTCTGGGTCTGGGTTACCTC